TTTTTTTTTAATTTTGTAATAACTTAATTACTAATACACTTGTTATTTTTTTTATTACAGTTCGATTGGCAGCCCTATCAAAACGTCCTGAACAATGATTCTCTTATGCGTGCACAGACGATCGACAATTTTGGACGTACCGGGGCTGGATCATCAGTTGGTACACCCGGGAGGTACACTTGCCTGATAGGGTCCTTCGGCAATTTGGGTGTCGCCAGTCCATCCCCCAAGATCCGATCATTCGAGATGAGCGAGAGTGGGACGCACACCACAGAGGGCATGGGATGACTGAGAGAGCATTTTATGATTGGGCCGCATTCCATGGACCTATTCTGAGCTCATGGACCGATGATAGAGCCAATCGTCTCCTCCCAATTGCCCTTGTGGACGATTATTTGCAGCCGGAGCAGGGTTACCTCGAATGGTTTCACTGCAGGACTCGTAGATTGATGAATAACCCTGCCAATTACCCGGCGTTCCAACAGGCGGGCGGGTATCAGCCACTTGCCGAGCGGTTAGGCTGTCAGGTTAGTGTTCATTATTTGTGTTTATTATTATTATTATTATTATTATTATTATTATTATTATTATTATTATTATTATTATTATTATTATTATTATTTTGGTGTTTCATACTAATTATTATGAATTTTAATTACAGACTTCATAACTGTACGAGATTTATGGCGGATTATCCGATATGCAGCCATATCTGCTTCAAATCCCTCCAGAAGCGCAACTCGGCTTTCAACAGTCGTACAACTATGCATACTCTTCTCTGACTGTTGGGGGCCAGGGTGTTCCACATGGGGGGCCGTCCAGTCAAGTTTTCTCTCAGGACGAATACATTCCCCCCATGAGGACACAGTCACACACCGCCAGGCATCAACCCGCCCCCAACATTGGTGAGGGTAGAAGATCTCGGGTCCGTCCCCACGCTCAGCCGTCTACCCAGCCCTTCCCACCTCAGCCGCCTCAGCCCTTCTCACCTCAGCCGCCCCAGCCCTTCTCACCTCAGCAGCCGTCCGCCCAGGACTACTACATACCTCAGCCGCCCCAGCCCTTCCCAACTCAGCAGCAGTCCGCCCAGGACTACTATATACCTCAGCCGCCCGAGCCTCAACAAGGTGAGATTTTTAAATTAACAATTTTTTTCCAGTCCAATTTATGATTTCTTTTTTCCAATTGAATTACTCAGATGATGAAGAAGATGACCAAACTTTTCAAGCTGACACGCTTCTTACACCTCAACCTCAAATTGTATATGCTCGGAGGGGGTCCAGACAGCGCAGGCCTCCGAATCCATACACCCCTAATTAGTTAGTTGTGATGAATTCGTGGATTTTGTGTTTCATTTTCAAATGTTGGATTGTGTTTTTTCATTTGTTTCGCTATAGTGTATGTTGGATTATTATTGGGCGGATATGTTGATATTAGTTGCTCGAACATGTATATTTGATTTTACCAACTTTTTTCAATTTTTTTCTTTTAAAAATGTATTTAACAAATACGTTTTACTGTTAAATTAAATTTAAAATATGAAAAAAATTTAAAACATATTTATTAAATACGTTTTCATGATTAATTTTTTTTTTAAAAAAAAATCGAATTATTAAACGTATTTATGAAATACGTTCTTCTGATTTAAAAAATTCCAAAAAAAAATAAAAAATAAAAAATATAAAACGTATTTTGTAAATACGTTTCTGTAATTAAAAACAATTCAAAAAAAAAATTATTTTGAAAACGTATTTAAGAAATACGTTTTCCTGTTGATTAATTTACTTAATTAAGATAATTAACTAAAACGTATTCAACGAATACGTTTTAGTTTGAAAATTTAAGTAAACCGTATTCAAGGAATACGGTTTTTAAATAATTTTTTAGAAAACGTATTCTTTGAATACGTGCTTTTTATTTTCGTCCATCCCCTTTTTTTGTCCACTTATTTATTGTTTTTTTTTTAGTAAAAAATTCAAAATTTTCACAATTCTCTAAATTTTTCATCGCACAATTCCCTAGTATATATATATATATATATATATATATATATATATATTGTGAAAATAGCTATTTCTATCTCGTTTTGAATTCTTGTCAAATTTTTCACACCGCCCAATAAAAAGCTAAGTTTTTCACTCCAGAAAGTGCGAAAGGTATTGTGCGATGAATATGCGACAATTGCGCGATGACATTGTGCGAAAGTTAAAAGTGCGAAGGCATTCGCATATCCCTTCGCACTTTCTGGGGTGAAAAAAAAGTTAAAGTGCGAAGGCATTGTACGATGAATATGCGATAGTTATGCAATTGATATGCGACAGTTATGCGATAGTTTTTCGCATAACCTTCGCAATGCGACAGTTATGCGATGAATATGCGACAGTTTTCGCATAACCTTCGCACTTTCCGGTGTGAAAAAATTTAGTTTTTTATTGGGCGGTGTGAAAAACTTAATGTGTCTTTGTATTGGGGTGAAAAAGATTTTTTCCCGTATATATTACTACCTCCTATTCTTTTTAAATGTCATTTTGTTATTATCAAATATTGACAAAATAAATGTCGTTTTGGATATTTTGTACATATTTTTCCATTATTACTCTCATTTAGCTAATAAATACACTACGTCTTTTCATATTCACTCTCCATTTTTTCTCTAAACATTCATCTCTATCATCATTAATGAGTGTTATTATTGGCAAAAAATATATTATTTATGATAGGGGGAAAAAAAGTGACCTCCCAAAGTATGGCATATTTTAGGGTTTGCCTTAGGATTTTTTTTTTCTTGACAATTTGTCTTTCATAATAATCAAAACTGACAATTTTTTTTCACCTGATTGAAAATCTTAATGTGGCACAAATTTTTTTTTAACATTAGTTATAAATTTTAAATTGATTCTTAAAACTAATTTAGGGCTTTTAAAACCCATGGCGAGACGAACAAAACGAGGTATGGTTTGTCGATTTTTAAAAATTGATACCTCTGTAATCGATCGACGAAGATAGTAGCACATGTGTATATAAAAATTTTCAATTCAAGTTTTCTGATAATCAAATATACACGCACCTTTGAAGCATATGCCAACCTATACACCATACACATATACATACATCTTTGAAGCATATGCCAACCTATACATATAAAATTATGTTATATACAAAATTTGAAACGACATCACCCTCGAGCACAACTACAGAAACTGCATATACAACTATGGGGCACAACTTTATCTATCAGACAAGACAGAGGCACTCCATGAAAGCATTACGTCCCGAGCAACAGAAGGAAGATCTGTAAGAGCCACAAATCCAAGTAAGCACATTGATTCACATGCATGATTCAACCTTTTTTATACATAAACACTGTTCGAAAAGTCGGCCTAGGCGGCCGCCTAGGCGGCGCCTAGGCGCTAGGCGGCGGTGTGCCGCCTACGATTTGCTAAAATCGGCCATAAAAATCGGCCAGGCGGGC